TGACTGACTGACTGACTGACTGACTGACTGACTGAATGACTGAATGACTGAATGACTGAAGACTGACTAACTGACTGACTGACTGACTGACTGAATGACTGAATGAATGACTGACTGACTGACTGACTGACTGACTGACTGACTGAATGACTGACTGACTGACTGACTGACTGACTGAATGACTGAATGAATGAATGACTGAATGACTGAATGACTGACTGACTGACTGACTGACTGACTGACTGAATGACTGAATGAATGACTGACTGACTGACTGAATGAATGACTGACTGACTGAATGACTGAATGACTGACTGAATGACTGACTGACTGACTGACTGAATGACTGAATGACTGAATGAATGACTGAATGACTGAATGACTGACTGAATGAATGACTGAATGACTGAATGACTGACTGACTGACTGACTGACTGACTGACTGAATGAATGACTGAATGACTGAATGACTGACTGACTGACTGACTGAATGACTGAATGACTGAATGACTGAATGACTGACTGAATGACTGAATGAATGAATGACTGACTGACTGACTGACTGAATGAATGACTGACTGACTGAATGACTGAATGACTGACTGAATGAATGACTGACTGAATGACTGAATGACTGACTGACTGACTGACTGACTGAATGACTGACTGACTGACTGACTGAATGACTGACTGAATGACTGACTGACTGACTGACTGACTGACTGACTGAATGACTGACTGAATGACTGACTGACTGACTGTCAGGCGTACCCATGTGATGGCGTAGGAGTCGGGTGTGATCTTCTTGGTGTCCAGGAAGCTGCAAAGCTCTGGCTCGTGGTACTGCAGCAGCAGCCGGTAGAGGTGGAACGGCCGGCCGCTCGCTACGCACTCCCTGACATCAACACGGACAAAAACTCATTATTTATTTTCAGCAAAATCTTATTTACAATTCAGACTTTTGCGAAAAAGTCTGAGATTTTTTTTTAAAAGCCAACATTTTGAGGACAAAGTCAGATTTTTGAAATTTTAGGAAAAAGTCAGATTTTTGAAATTTTAGGAAAAAGTCAGATTTTTGAAATTTTGAGAAAGATTCTGAATTTTGAGTCAGATTTAAGTTAAAGTGGACCTATCATGCTATATTATAATAATATAGTGTAGGACCATACCTATATAAGGCATATTTATACTTTTTTATTTTTCAAAATACCAAACAGATCATGCATTTTAGCCATGCCTCATTTTGCTCAATTTGACCTTTTCTAGCTCTGTTTTAGCAAGGGCCGATTCAGTGAGAACAGCACCACCTACAGGCCTGGCATATGTACTACAGCATCTCCAGCGCTTTAGAACGGCAATGGCCGTGGCTGTCTCCTCCTGATTGGTGGAGTTGGCCCAATAGCCGTAGCGCCACCGTCCTGACGTCAGGACAGTGTTCAAATCTGGATCAGTTTTTATCAGATCCGTTGCAGCCCCTTTTTTAGAGATTTGGGTATGGAGGAAAATAGAGAGGGTTGTGTTTTCTGACACTTGGTGAGTTCCCTGGAACACCGGGGACACATATTCATGTAGAAAAGACGTATCATTTTGCATGATAGGTCCCCTTTAAATAAATGGATCCTGAGATTGAAGCTCAAGCCGGTGACCAGTGATCAATAAAAATTGTAAGTATTCAGAAAAAGTCAGAATTTTGAGATTTCTTTGAAAAGTCAGAATCTTTGAAAAAAGATCTGAAGATTTTGAGATTTTCTGAAAAAAGCCAACATTTTGAGGAAAGTCAGATTTCTTTGATTTTTTTTTTTTTTTTAATTCAGAGATTTCTTTGAAAAATTCAGAATTTTGAGATTTTTTTGAAAAATTCAGACTTTTGAAATTTTCAGAAAAAAGCCAACATTTTGAGAACAAGTAAGTTGAGAGGATAATAAATACATGGATCCTGAGATTGAAGCTCAAGCCGGGGACAGTGAGATGTGTCTAACAGAGTGTTACCTGGGGATGTACTTGTTCATGACGGCGTAGAAGCAGTTGTAGAGGTCGCTGCGCGGCAGCTGCAGAGCGAGCAGAGGCTTCAGCAGCGGAGGCCAGCTCAGATCCACAGAGAACTGAAGGTTCCTGGACTTACAGTAGAACGTGATGACCGCCTCCACGTCACACACCATGTCTCTGCTGTCCTCCTCACACACCTTCAGCTGGTCTGAGGAAAGACACCAGGGTTTATACAAACGCTGCTACGGACCGTCTGCACTAATGCACATTCCCAAAGATTTTGAAGTGACTGTATATACTGATTGTTGTGCTTTTATTTATGTCTTAATGTGTGCATATGTATACATGTGTCTGTGATTGTGTGCATATAGGATATACTTATTTTTATATGCATTTGTTTTTGTATTCTGGATTGTGGGAAATAGTATTTCGATCTCTCTGAACACAAACTGAAAGATTGACAATAAAGTTGACTTTTGACAAAGTGGTAAATAAAATATATTCCCAAACATTTCCCAAACTGGGATCAATAAAGTACTTCTTATCTTCAGAGAGTCAGAAAACGGTATTCATCCAGGGGGAAATTAGGAAGCGAGAGTTAGATTAAAATGGATTAAAAAGGAAAGTAGAGGAAAGAGGACGGAGGACAGAGGACGGAGGACAGAGGACAGAGGACAGAGGACTGACCAATGAGCTGCTGGCTGCTGGCGTGGATCAGGTTTTGCTCGGGGAGATCCAGGACTCCATCCCACGGAGACAGACTGTCTCCTTTCCCTGAGACATTCAGAGCGATCTGCACAGAGGAGGGGACACTTTAGGAAGGGACACTTTAGGAAGGGACACTTTAGGAAGGGGACACTTTAGGAAGGGGACACTTTAGTAAGGGGACACTTGAGGAAGGGACACTTGAGGTAGGGGACACTTTAGGAAGGGGACACTTTAGTAAGGGACACTTTAGGAAGGGGACACTTGAGGTAGGGGACACTTTAGGAAGGGGACACTTTAGGAAGGGGACACATGAGGTAGGGGACACTTGAGGTAGGGGACACTTTAGGAAGGGACACTTTAGGAAGGGACACTTTAGGAAGGGGACACTTTAGGAAGGGACCACTTTAGGAAGGGACACTTTAGGAAGGGGACACTTGAGGTAGGGGACACTTTAGGAAAGGGACACTTTAAGAAGGGACACTTTAGGAAGGGGACACTTTAAGAAGGGACACTTTAAGAAGGGAAACATTTAGGCTGCTTCTCATTTCTCTTATTTCTCATCTCCTCGCTCCTCGGTCTCGGTCTCACCGGAAGTTGATTTGTCTGCGCCATCTTGAGTAGCGTCCCATGGCTCTTATTTCTGCCGGAGGAGCGAGGAGCGATAATGGAGGAGCGATAATGGAGGAGCGATAATGGAGGAGCGATAACCGAGGAACCACCAGACCATCCTCCGATGAAATCCTCAGCCACTCGCCCCGCCCCCTTACTGTGTATCGCTCACTGATTGGACGATGCAGCGCACTGATCTGATGCTTCTTGACATGAGAGCAGTTTCCCAGCGGAGTGAAGAAAACACATGAAACTCACGGGACTCACTCCTCAGTTCATACTGTGTTTTGTTTCAATGAATGCATCATTCAGTTACACATATGTGATATATCTGAACAACTAAGTGGACAATCCAATGAATGTTAATCTAACTGGGTTTTGATAGATAACATATCTCTCTTTCTTCTCTCAATTATTTTATTTCTATTGTGCACTCTAATCAATATTAATCAAACTATTGATTTTAAGAATGGTATTTATCTTTTTTGAGAATGAGTTCTTATTTAATGTATTTGGGTCTACAACAGATGATACACATGTTTGTGTCAGTAAATGTGTACTAACAGAGGCGGGGGTGTTTGTGAAAATAACAGGGACAGAGCTGCTGTCAGACGATCAGCTGTGCAGCGTCATCACAAACGGACGTCGCTTCACGTGACACTCCGGAGGAAAGGACGTCCCATTGCTCTGAAAACTCATTTCCCTGCTTCTCGTGGTTTCCTTGCGTCTCTCCATGCTTCCTGGTGGGAGGGACTAGACGCAGGGAAACCACGCAAGTGAGGGACGCAAGGAATGAAGTTAAGAGAAGTGAGATGCAGCCAAGGACACTTTAGGAAGGGGACACTTTAGGAAGGGGACACTTTAGGAAGGGGACACTTTAAGGAAGGGACACTTTAGGAAGGGGACACTTTAAGGAAGGGGACACTTTAAGGAAGGGGACACTTTAAGGAAGGGGACACTTAAGGAAGGGGACACTTTAAGGAAGGGGACACTTTAAGGAAGGGGACACTTTAAGGAAGGGGACCCTTTAAGGAAGGGGACCCTTTAGGAAGGGGACACTTTAGGAAGGGGACACTTTAGGAAGGGGACACTTTAAGGAAGGGGACACTTTAGGAAGGGGACCCTTTAGGAAGGGGACACTTTAGGAAGGGGACCCTTTAAGGAAGGGGACACTTTAGGAAGGGGACCCTTTAAGGAAGGGGACACTTTAGGAAGGGGACCCTTTAAGGAAGGGGACACTTTAGGAAGGGGACCCTTTAAGGAAGGGGACACTTTAGGAAGGGGACCCTTAGCTGCTGTGACGCTGCAGGACGACTGAAGGGTCCTGCTTCCTCTCACCTTCCACATCTTGGCTCTGTGCTGGGCCGAGCTCTCCTGGAGGATCCCTCTCTCCTGGAGGATCCCTCTCTCCTGGAGGATCCCTCTCTCCTGGAGGATCCCTCTCTCCGTCTCCATGTCAGAGCCCGAGTCCAGAGCCTCCATCAGATCCTGGTCCCTGGGGGGGGGGGGGGGGGGAGATCAGGTTGAATGACTTTGTATACTGCAGGGTAGCTTGTGGATTTACTCCAGGTGGAACTAAAGTCTGATTTAACACTTGGTTATATTTCACATCATTCATCCACATCTGTGAAGTAACTAAAGGTATTAAATACATGTAGTGGAGTAGAAGTACACCATGTACCTCTGAACTGTAGAGGAGGAGAAGTACACAGTAGCAGGACATGAAAATACTCAAGTAAAGTAGAAGTACCTCTAAGTAGTACTTGAGTAGATGTCGTGGAGGTGTTGGACTTTAGCTCAAACTGTTCCCAGGTGATCAACTCAGATATAAAGATATGTGTTTATGATATTTATCAACACACACCTAGCTTTATGATTATACGATGTGATCGTATTCAGGTGATAATACTACTCAGTGGAAAGAGCTCTAATGAGTCCTGCAGTGTCATGTTTATAGCCTGTTGGTAAATGAAGGCTTTTGAGTCGAATGTTTTGGTTACCGATTGTTCTGTCCTTGATGTGTGTTTTTGGTGTATATCTGTCGTGTATGTGTTTTATTGGCTGTGTTTTGGCACCACCTTGTGGTGGTTGTTTGACACTGCTGCTTTCTAGTGGTTTATTCGATTCCTGTTGCTCCACGTGTAGCTTGGGTTGTTTCATGAACGGACGTCTGCTCTCCATGGGCTGTGCTTCGTATTTCCCGCTGGTTCACGCATCGTCTGTGAGTGTTATTGTCCGACAGACTGTGGCTTCATGGGAATATGTTGTATGTAAAATGTTTATGTTTGTAGGAATGCAGTGAGTATTCTTTGCGGCTAAGCTACTAGCGGCTAGGCTGATTAGCTTCTCAGTTTGTGCACCGTAGCTCATTGTGTGAAGTATTCTGTCTATTTAGCTCGTCAGTCGGGCAGTCAATAATAAACTGTTATGTCTGTATTGTCTTTACAGTTTCATCAAGTAAAGAGACTTCAACTGACAACTGTGCTGGAGTTTTCTTTCAAACGGTTTAACTGGATGGATAGCTAGCTCAGTGCTAGTGAGACCCTTACAGTGAAAAGACGGCATTACAGCCAGCTCCGGGGACGGAGACAGGCTTCCTACGGAGCGACACCAAGAGCTAAGTGGCTAACTCAGTGCATATGTACAGCCTTCACGCCAGCTTATCTCTTCATCCACGTTATTGAATTCACAACCCAGCCACTATGGAAGAAAATGACAACATGGATAAAATAAGTGTAAACGCACACTCTGTGCACACACGTGCGTCGCGCTCATCATCCAGCTCAAAGGCTAATTTAGCACTGGCTATGGCTATGGCAAGGGCTGAAGCAGCACAGGCTAGAACATCACACTCTAAGTGGGAAATTGAGCTAAAAGTCGAGCAAGCACGCATTCAAGCTACTCTTGATGCATTAAAGGAAGAAAAGGAGAAAGATGCTGCCATAGCTGAAGTAAAAATGTTGCAGGCTGGTTTACTAGAGCTTGATGTTGAAGAGGCCAGCAGAGGCTCTAATCCAGTGTCTCAACACTTTATGTACCAGCGCACCGCTGCTTATGTGAAAGAGCAAACCAGCAGAATAGGTGGATCGCCTAGCAAAATTAGTGACATTATTGCCTCCATAGGCCCACACCTAAATGAACCATCACAACATAGTAAAGGAGAGGATGTTAAGCCTACACAGTCCTACTCACTTAAAGGCCTTGCTCAAACACAAGCTGCTGTTTCTACCCAAACTACGCCTCACCACACATTAAAGGCTCCTCGACCTGGTACACCAGCACCGCCGTGGACTCTCAATAAGCAGTCTCCATTCTCTGCTTATCAGCCTAACCAAGGTACGCCCTATGAAGCCAGTTACCACAACCCTCAAACCACTAACGATCTGGCTAAATATCTTGCCCGCAGTAACTTAGTGACATCAGGCCTCACAACATTCGACGATCAACCAATGAATTATTGGGCTTGGAAACGTCCTTCCTAAGTGCTATTGCTGGTCTGGATCTGTCTGTTGGAGAAGAACTCGACCTGCTCTGCAAATATCTGGGAAAAGAGTCATCAGATCAGGTGAGGAGAATCAAGGCCGTCAACATCAGACACCCTGACGCTGGACTAATGATGGCCTGGGAGAGGCTTGAGGAAATATACGGCTCACCTGAGGTCATTGAACAGGCTCTCTTTGACAAGCTGGAAAGCTTCCCCATACTGACCAACAAAGACCCAAAACGACTCAGAGAATTAGCAGACCTGCTGTTAGAGCTTGAGGCTGCTAAGAGAGATGGCTCCCTCCCAGGTCTGTCATATTTAGATACTTCCAGAGGGGTTAAGCCCATCATCGAAAAACTCCCATACAACATCCAAGAAAAGTGGATATCTTATGGTTCAAGATACAAACGTGATCATCATGTCAGTTTCCCACCTTTCTCTGTCTTTGCAGACTTTGTTCGTACAGAGGCAAAAGCTCGTAATGATCCCAGCTTCAACCTCTCCACGACAGTTCCTATGGAGAAAAAGAGTACGTGGGAGAAATCCACGAAGATGCCTGTATCTGTTCACAAGACACAAGTGTCGTCTGCTGACAGATATGAAAGCAGAGAGGATAAGAAGCTAACAGACCCAAACAACCATTGTCCTCTACATAAGAAACCACACCCTCTGAAGAAATGCAGAAGCTTTAGAGAAAAGAGTCTAGAGGAGCGCAAACAGCTCTTAAAGGAACATTCCTTTTGCTTCCGGTGCTGCTCCTCTACTGGTCATCTCGCTAGAAACTGCACGGCTGAGGTGAAATGTATAGAATGTGGGAGCACGGGTCACGTGTCAGCACTACACCCAGGACCAGCAGTCTGGAAACCTAAGCCCTCTCCTCCCTCTTCAGAGCACGGCGGGGAGGAAGACAAAGCAGACTATCAGGTCACATCAAGGTGCACACAAGTGTGTGGTGAAGGTGTTAGCGCACGAGCATGCTCGAAAATATGCCTTGTAAGTGTGTATCCAGCTGGTCGCTCGGAAGAGGCCAAGAAAATGTATGCAATACTGGACGAGCAGAGTAATCGTTCCTTGGCACACTCTGAGTTCTTCAACGTTTTCAAAATCACAGGGCCTTCCTTCCCTTACACACTGGAAACATGCGCTGGACTAACTCAGACAACAGGGAGAAGAGCTAGTGGGTTCACAGTGGAATCAGCAGACAAAAAGCTAAGCTTTCCTTTGCCTTCACTTTTAGAGTGCAACCAAGTTCCCAACAACCGCTCCGAAGTCCCTACGCCAAATGCAGCTCATCACCATGCTCACCTGAAGTGCATCGCCGACGAAATACCACCTCTCGATCCTAACGCTGACATACTCCTCTTGCTGGGCAGAGACATTCTCAGGGTCCACAAGGTCCGTGAGCAGATAAGTGGTCCAGACAACGCACCGTTCGCCCAAAGGCTGGACCTGGGATGGGTTGTCGTTGGTGACGTGTGTCTAGCAGGTGCTCGCGAACCACTAGAGGTGAACAGTTACAAGACGTCTATCTTGGAGAATGGTCGTACTAGCCATCTGCAGCCATGCAACAACCAACTCAAGGTAAGAGAAATCTTCAATCAAACCCCTGACTACACACATCATCCAGCACTGACCTCTAAGTTCAGCACAGCAACACATGATGCAGACAGTCTGGGTCAAACCATCTTCACGCAAACTGCCAAAGACCACAAACTAGCCCCATCCGTAGAAGATATGAAGTTTCTTAAGATCATGGAAGCAGAGTTTCATCAAGACAGCTCGAAGAGCTGGGTGGGACCACTACCTTTCCGGTTACCAAGACAGAGGCTGCCTAACAATAGGAAACAAGCACAAGATCGTCTTGCCTTATTGAGACGCATGCTGGAAAAACGGCCACAGATGAAAGCCCACTTTCTAGAGTTCACAGCAAAACAAATACGGTCTGACTGTGGCACTAACTTTGTTGTAGAGTTGCAAATGAAGACTACAGATCCCAGTGGCAACAACGTGGAGAAGTACCGGAGCACGCAGAACTGCACATGGGTGTTCAACCCGCCACATGCGTCCCACATGGGTGGGGCATGGGAACGGATGATTGGCATCGCTCGTCGCATTCTTGACTATCTGCTGCTTGAACAGAAGAAGTCTTCTTTGACGCATGAAGTTCTGCTTACGCTCATGGCTGAGGTGACAGCAGTCATCAATGCTAGACCTCTCATTCCAGTATCTTCAGATCCAGAGTCACCTCTCATCCTCACCCCATCAATGCTCTTGACCCTCAAAACAGGCTCTACACCACCTCCTCCAGGTAACTTTGAAGAGGCAGACCTCTTTAAAGAGCAGTGGAAGCAAGTTCAGAGCCTGGCGGACACCTTTTGGAGTAGGTGGAGAAAAGAATATCTCAAGACTCGTCACAAGTGGCGGTCTAAGAGGTCAAACCTTCAAGAGGGGGACATTGTTCTCCTGAAAGACAATCAGGCTCAGAGAAACGAATGGCCTATGGCCACCATCACAAAGACATTCCCAGGAAGGGATGGACTGGTTCGTAAGATCGAGGTAGAGATCTCCAAGGACAAGACCAAAAGGATCTTTTCTCGTCCTGTTACAGAAGTGGTCCTGCTGCTGTCTCCAAAGACTGATTTTTGTTGATTGATCTGGGGTTTAAAAACCCCAGGCGGGGAGTGTTCTGTCCTTGATGTGTGTTTTTGGTGTATATCTGTCGTGTATGTGTTTTCTTGGCTGTGTTTTGGCACCACCTTGTGGTGGTTGTTTGACACTGCTGCTTTCTAGTGGTTTATTCGATTCCTGTTGCTCCACGTGTAGCTTGGGTTGTTTCATGAACGGACGTCTGCTCTCCATGGGCTGTGCTTCGTATTTCCCACTGGTTCACGCATCGTCTGTGAGTGTTATTGTCCGACAGACTGTGGCTTCATGGGAATATGTTGTATGTAAAATGTTTATGTTTGTAGGAATGCAGTGAGTATTCTTTGCGGCTAAGCTACTAGCGGCTAGGCTGATTAGCTTCTCAGTTTGTGCACCGTAGCTCATTGTGTGAAGTATTCTGTCTATTTAGCTCGTCAGTCGGGCAGTCAATAATAAACTGTTATGTCTGTATTGTCTTTACAGTTTCATCAAGTAAAGAGACTTCAACTGACAACTGTGCTGGAGTTTTCTTTCAAACGGTTTAACTGGATGGATAGCTAGCTCAGTGCTAGTGAGACCCTTACACCGATGTTTAATAATGTTCTGTTTCCTCCACTGACTCTCAGCTGAGATGCTTTCGGGTTCAGATGAACTACATCACTCAACTACATAGATTATGATAAAGTATTTAAAAAAACATGATGACAGAAATGTAAAAAGCACTTTATAGAGTTATCTTTATCTTTTTTACGAATTCAGCAGCAGCTCAAATGGTAGACCTGATGAAGTGAATATATCTGCAGCTTCCTTTGGTTCTGAGTTTCTCTACGGTTTGTGCACTTACTGTCCCTTTGCATAAAAGCGCCAGCTAAATGATGCGTAACGCAATGATACGTAATGTAATGATACGTAACGCAGTGATACGTAACGCAGTGATACGTAACGTAATGATACGTAACGTAATGATACGTAATGTAGTGATACGTAACGCAATGATACGTAATGTCGTGATACGTAACGCAGTGATACGTAACGCAGTGATACGTAACGTAATGATACGTAACGCAGTGATACGTAACGCAGTGATACGTAACGCAGTGATACGTAACGCAGTGATACGTAATGTAGTGATACGTAACGCAGTGATACGTAATGTAGTGATACGTAACGCAGTGATACGTAACGTAATGATACGTAACGTAATGATACGTAATGTAGTGATACGTAACGCAATGATACGTAATGTCGTGATACGTAACGCAGTGATACGTAACGCAGTGATACGTAACGTAATGATACGTAACGCAGTGATACGTAACGCAGTGATACGTAACGCAGTGATACGTAACGCAGTGATACGTAACGTAATGATACGTAACGCAGTGATACGTAACGCAGTGATACGTAACGCAGTGATACGTAATGTAATGATACGTAACGCAGTGATACGTAACGCAGTGATACGTAACGCAGTGATACGTAATGTAGTGATACGTAACGCAGTGATACGTAACGCAGTGATACGTAATGTAATGATACGTAACGCAGTGATACGTAATGTAATGATACGTAATGTAGTGATACGTAACGCAATGATACGTAATGTAGTGATACGTAACGCAGTGATACGTAATGTAGTGATACGTAACGCAGTGATACGTAATGTAGTGATACGTAACGCAGTGATACGTAACGCAGTGATACGTAATGCAATGATACGTAACGCAGTGATACGTAACGCAATGATACGTAACGCAGTGATACGTAATGTAGTGATACGTAACGCAATGATACGTAATGTAGTGATACGTAATGTAGTGATACGTATGTAGTGATACGTAACGCAATGATACGTAATGTAGTGATACGTAACGCAGTGATACGTAATGTAGTGATACGTAACGCAGTGATACGTAACGCAGTGATACGTAATGTAGTGATACGTAACGCAGTGATACGTAACGCAGTGATACGTAACGCAGTGATACGTAACGCAGTGATACGTAACGCAATGACACGTAACGCAGTGATACGTAACGCAGTGATACGTAACGCAGTGATACGTAACGCAATGATACGTAATGTAGTGATACGTAACGCAATGATACGTAATGTAGTGATACGTAACGCAGTGATACGTAATGTAGTGATACGTAACGCAGTGATACGTAACGCAGTGATACGTAATGTAGTGATACGTAACGCAGTGATACGTAACGCAGTGATACGTAACGCAGTGATACGTAACGCAGTGATACGTAACGCAGTGATACGTAACGCAGTGATACGTAACGCAGTGATACGTAACGCAATGACACGTAACGCAGTGATACGTAACGCAGTGATACGTAACGCAGTGATACGTAACGCAATGATACGTAATGTAGTGATACGTAACGCAATGATACGTAATGTAGTGATACGTAACGCAATGATACGTAACGCAATGACACGTAATGTAGTGATACGTAACGCAGTGATACGTAACGCAGTGATACGTAACGCAGTGATACGTAACGCAGTGATACGTAACGCAATGACACGTAACGCAGTGATACGTAACGCAGTGATACGTAACGCAGTGATACGTAATGCAATGATACGTAACGCAGTGATACGTAACGCAATGATACGTAACGCAGTGATACGTAATGTAGTGATACGTAACGCAGTGATACGTAACGCAGTGATACGTAATGTAGTGATACGTAACGCAGTGATACGTAACGCAGTGATACGTAACGCAGTGATACGTAACGCAGTGATACGTAACGCAGTGATACGTAACGCAATGACACGTAACGCAGTGATACGTAACGCAATGATACGTAATGTAGTGATACGTAACGCAATGATACGTAATGTAGTGATACGTAACGCAATGATACGTAACGCAATGACACGTAATGTAGTGATACGTAACGCAGTGATACGTAACGCAGTGATACGTAACGCAGTGATACGTAACGCAGTGATACGTAACGCAGTGACACGTAACGCAGTGACACGTAACGCAGTGACACGTAACGCAGTGATACGTAACGCAGTGATACGTAACGCAGTGATACGTAACGCAATGACACGTAACGCAGTGATACGTAACGCAGTGATACGTAACGCAGTGATACGTAACGCAATGACACGTAACGCAGTGATACGTAACGCAGTGATACGTAACGCAGTGATACGTAACGCAATGACACGTAACGCAATGACACGTAACGCAGTGATACGTAACGCAGTGATACGTAACGCAGTGATACGTAACGCAATGATACGTAATGTAGTGATACGTAACGCAATGATACGTAATGTAGTGATACGTAACGCAGTGATACGTAACGCAATGATACGTAACGCAGTGATACGTAACGCAGTGATACGTAACGCAGTGATACGTAACGCAGTGATACGTAACGCAATGATACGTAATGTAGTGATACGTAACGCAGTGATACGTAACGCAGTGATACGTAACGCAATGATACGTAACGCAATGATACGTAATGTAGTGATACGTAACGCAGTGATACGTAACGCAGTGATACGTAACGCAGTGATACGTAACGCAATGATACGTAACGCAATGATACGTAACGCAGTGATACGTAATGTAGTGATACGTAACGCAATGATACGTAACGCAGTGATACGTAACGCAGTGATACGTAACGCAGTGATACGTAACGCAATGATACGTAACGCAATGATACGTAATGTATTAATTATAAAAGAAAAACATAATGATGACAGTCCAAACATCACTCTGTAAAATGGAACTGAAGCTCTCACTGGATTAAAGTTCGATTTCTACCTCTGAGATGGAGCGAAATACTCAAATACAAATACCTGAGATGTGTACTTTGGTACAGATAAGTACTTACTAGTACTTGAGTACAGACTGGGTACAGATTAATACTTGAGTACAGTCTAATACCTGGGTACAGACTGGGTACAGACTAACACCTGGGTGAATGTTCTTAGGAACCCTTCTGTTGTTAGACTCGTGACATTAGAGCACATGTGTCAAACTCAAGGCTCGGGGGCCAAATCAGGCCCGTGGTGGATTTAATTTCGGCCCGCAGGATAATTTCTAATTTCTATTAGATCAGACCCTCCGGTATATTGCACGCACACCTTCACTCCACCCTGAGGGTCTCCTCAGCTCAGAGCCTGAGCCCAAACATTGATGAACTTGCACCCAAGAGGAGATGCCAAGTATCTGAGCTAGCATCACAGAGCAGCACACTGAGTTTACATGTTTCCTTCTGCATTTCCTCTCACGACAACAGGGCATGTTTGGTTCTTTGAGGGAAATAGTTTTGTTGAAGCTGTTGTTGGCCTGTGGAGAAATGTACTCATAAGAAATGACTCTGGAGAAGCTGCAGATCGAGCCATGAGAAATGAATGCAACTGATTATTTAATGTTTAATGTTTTTATAGACAATAATTGAAGCTTTGTTAGTTCCAGGTTTAATATGTGCAATAAGTTCATTTCAATACGTTCTGCAATAAACATTGAACCAGTCCGGCCCTCCACTGGCACCCATTTGTTTATGTTGGCCCGCTGTGTGTTGAGTCTGACCCCCCTGCTCTAGAGGAACTGACAGGATGTCTCTTCGGTTTAAAGGGAAGAAACACCGGCTAGTTATTGTTAGCTTACTGGCTAACAGGCTTCCCTTAATACGAGTCAGTGGCAGAAACGAAGTGACAGGAACGTAAATCCTTGGACGGATCTTTCTCTGAAGCTCGTCATGTTTTTAACTCGGATGTATATAGGCTACACACGAATGTAATCAAACCAGGCTAATTAGCATTAGCATGAGCTAACGGGTAGCACCCAGAGGAACACAGTAACTACGCAGTGTTATATTTAGATATTAAACATGACACCCTGTCAGGTGAAGCTCGCCCAGGTGTTCGACAGAGGAGTAAAGGTGTGATAAAGGTGTGATAAAGGTGAGATAGAGAGAGATGCTCACCAGCTGCCCTGAAGAGCTTCCGCCTCCACACAGTCCGCCATGGTTCTGATGACGAAGCACGTCAGTGACGTCAACACGGTCTACGTGTCGAACGCCGTCAGTGATCAATGAGCTGTTGCAACTAATCAACTAATCAACTGATCAACTGATCAACTAATCGGTCTGATTTGTGTTAAGAGATCATTAACCCTTGTGCCCTCCTCGGGCATTTTTGTACATTTTTCCTGACTTTTTTTTTGATTTGGTGTTCATTTCAGCTGTGTTACAGCTTTTGGCATGGATTTTTGCAAGAAGTCTTCTTTTGAGTCATATTTTTTAAATCCAATGTTGTTTACTCTTACATGTTTTGTATACTCTCGTGATGCATTTTGCACCCTCTGGACCCCTTCGTGGCAAAAATGTACACGCTCATAGAAACTGCTATTAAATCATCATACATCAATATTTTATTAAACTTTTTTTTCCATGAATCACTTGAACAACTTCTAACGTGCTCAAAACTACCAAACATCCAATAATTTTCAGGATTTTAACCCTTTAAATGCCTGTTTCATTATTTGAATTATTTAATTTCTCTTACAAAAAAACACAAAAAATGAATTTTTTTCAATATAATAATTAGTAGAGGGATGGAACTTTGGTGGTTATTAGAGTCTGGGATGTGTCAAAGATTAGCAACAAAATTGATTTGACTGCATTATTAATTTGTACGTAGTGTCAGATACTACCTCTGGACACCTTCGTGGCAAAAATGTACACGCCCATAATAACTGCTATTAAATCATCATACATCAATATCTTTTTCTACTTTTTTTTCATGAATCACATATACAACTTCTCACGTACTCCAAACTACCAAACATTCAATCATTGGCAGGATTTTAACCCATTAAATGCCTGTTTCATTATTTTAATTATTTCATTTATCTCAAAAATGCCTCATTGACTTCCATTCAGACCACATTTGTTGATCTCACTGCCATTGCAGTATAAAACCATGCATTTTGTAATGTCAGCATTTCATTTAGAAGAAAAGTAGTGATATTTGATATTTCTACTCTATTCCAACAGATTACACAAGTTTCCGTGTAGGCCGATGCATTACATTCTTACATTTTTGCCAGTTATATTATGGAGCCGTGTGACTACCAGGGGGCCCCGAGAGTGGTGTGTGTGTGTGTGTGTGTGTATGTATGTATATGTGTGCGTGTGCGTGTGCGTGTGTGTGTGTGTGTGTGTGTGTGTGTGTGTGTATATGTGCATGTGTGTGTGTGTCATTTCCAGCAGCAGACTAGCAGGTCCTGCAGCATGTGACCTGGTGCTCTCAGGTGATAGAACAACCATTTTTTAGGCCTGTGCACAACCAGCACACACGTCTCCTCCCTCTCCGTGTGTGTGTGTGTGTGTGTGTGAGAATCTGTAAGCATGCACGGATCATTTCATGGGAACAAAAGGCCATCTTTTGAGGGATGTGTTTGATGTGTCTTTGAAGAGCTGCTTGATTACTCAAAAACAAAAAACAACTGTTAGTGTGTTTATGCACCTGGCTGCCAAAGATAAAAATGCAGTTTGACCAAGGGCTTATTTCATTAGTGAGCAGAGAAGGAGAAAGACCTGGAGCAAAGAGAAGGAACTCAAATGAAGAAGCATGTCAGTGCAGAGGAGACTTCAGAAATAATCTTGTAGCCTTCTTCTGCCAGCGAGCTGCAGGACTCATCTGAAGAAGACACAAGGTTCGAGGGGGGGTCTGACACTGAATGCTCTCTGGAGTCCAGCATTTCTTTGAGTTCCTCTGACCCTTCATCTGAAAGT